CCACCCATCTGATTAGCATAAATTAGTAAGCCGCGCCCTCGTGCAAGTGGTCATAATATAACCAAGAGGTATTCTCATTCATTAACAATATGAACTGCTGCTGTGCCAGGCTAGGTGCAGTAGGAGGTCACGTGACAGACCCAGCAGGTGCCATGGGTTTGACTGCTGCTGCTGTGCCAGGCTAGGTGCAGTAGGTCACGTGACAGACCCAGCAGGTGCCATGGGCTGACTGCTGCTGCTGTGCCAGACTAGGTGCAGGAGGAGGAGATCACGTGACAGACCCTGCAGGTGCCATGGGCTGACTGCTCCTGCTGCTGTGCCAGGCTAGGTGCAGGAGGTCACGTGACAGACCCAGCAGGTGCCATGGGTGGGGGTGACTGAGCTAACCGGTAAACGCGCCTAGCTTGTGCCCCCTACTGTGCCAACTTGCGATATTTTATCCGCCCGAAGCTCCGCTCGTTGTTGTGAGCGTCGCTCCAACCCCCGTCCGTTGTTGCTGGAGGGCGACTTGCCTCCAAACTCCGCAGAAGCCTCACAAGTGCACCTAGCCTGGCACTTGCCCAGTGGCAGCGTACTCCAAAGACAAAGATCCCCCGTATAGCCTGCAACAGGCTGTAGGGGCAAGTGCTGTTAGCGAGCACCTATGAAGGCCAGAACGGTACACGAGGGGGTGTGGGTGGCCAGGACCACGCCCGGACCGCCTTTGTCTCCCCATCGGCGATGTTAACTACACCACCACCGCTACACCAGGTACTCATTTGAGGCTGAGTCGACCTAGGGGAGGCCCAGGACCGGTTCAGAGAATCTTCACGCTACTGCTCTTCCATGCCCATCAACCCACACTCACTCCCACACAACAACAACAACAACCGCCATTCGCCACTAAGTGGCGGTGACGTCACCACGACGCTTGTGCCAGGCTAGGTGCACCTTGAGGCTATCACGTGAAGTGTCGAACGCCCGCTGGCAGGAGGTCACGGGGCAGACCCAGCAGGTGCCACGGGTCGACTGACTGAGATGACTGCTGGCTGATGCACCACCTGTGCCCCCTACTGTGCCAACCCGCTCTGCTTTAGCCACCCGGCGCTCCGCTCGTTGTTGTGAGCGTCGCTCCTCCGCCCTCCGTTGTTGTTGGAGGGCGACTGCCTCCAGCTGCCCAGTAGCATCCTTCACGAGCCTCCTCCACAGAGGCCGATCTTGACACCGCTGGTACCAGTCATCGGCAAGTCCACTCAGCTCCACGTCCTCCTGTACCACATCACTCCATCTCTTCTCTAGCCCGTGCCGCGCCCGCTTAGCCCCCTCGATCCGGCCGAACAAAAGCTGTTTGGGCATGCGTTGGCTGGGCATGCGGGCTACATGACCCAGCCATCGCAGCCTTCCCCGCCGGAGGAGCTCACCGATGGGACCTTGCCCAGATCTTTCAAGGATTTGTGAGCTCCTCACACAATCCAGCCTGGTTAAACCCAGGATGGATCGTAGGCAGGCCAGCCTAAATGTTTCTAACCGGTGAATGGAGCATCTTCTCACACACAAAAAAAGATCCCCCGTATAGCCTTAACAGACTGTAGGGGCAAGTGCTGTTAGCGAGCACCTATGAAGGCCGGAACGGTACACGAGGGGGTGGGTGGCCAGCACCACGCCCGACCGCCTTTGTCTCCCCAGTGGCAATGTTTCTATCCACCGCACTAGGTACTCATTCGAGGCTGAGTCGACCTAGGGGAGGCCCGGGACCGGTTCAGATAATCGTCACTGGTGTTGGCCGTGAGCGGGAATCGAACCCGGGTCGCCAGGATCATAGCGCAGCGTAGCGCTAACCGCTACACTATCGCTCCCCACACACTCACTCACACTTATTCACTCACACACACTCACACGCGCACATACACACACACTTTCAAACACACTCACTCACACACTCACGCACACACACACACTCACACGCACTCACTCACACACGCACTCACACACGCACGCACGCACACACACACTCACTCACACACTCACACACACTCACTCACACACACACTCACTTACACACTCATACACTCACACACTCACTCACACACACTCACTCACACACTCACTCACACACACACTCTCAAACACACTCACTCACACACTCACTCACACACTCACTCACACACACTCACTCACACACACACTCACACACACACTCACACACACTCACTCACACACACTCACACACTCACTCATTCACTCACACACACTCACTCACACACACGCCAGTGAGAATTAAGAGTGTTTAATCATACCGAAGGGGTTTTCCAATGAGCCATAACACGCGCACCAGCGATTTATCCTGCAGATGTTCACCACAGGCTTGAGAGGAGACGGGGGGGGGGTGTGGAGGGGAAATAATTAAATAAATACAAAGTTGGGTGGGAGGGGGGGCCGGTAGGGGGGGGGGGACATTCAAAAATCCGTACGGGTTGGAGATGTTGACTACCTCGCCTGGTGTACAGGAGGTCCCGTGGGTTCGATTACCCTGAGAGATGTTGACTACCTCGCCTGGTATACAGGAGGTCCCGTGGGTTCGATTACCCTGAGAGATGTTGACTACCTCGCGTGGAGTACAGGAGGTCGTGGGTTTGATTACCCTGAGAGATGTTAACTACCTCGCCTGGTCTACAGGAGGTCGTGGGTTCGATCCAGACCCTGGGAGATGTTGACTACCTCGCCTGATACACAGGAGGTCGTGGGTTCGATCCCAGACCCTGGGAGATGTTGCCTACCTCGCCTGGTATACAGAAAGTCGTGGGTTCGATCCTGACCCTGGGAGATGTTGACCACCTCGCCTGGTATACAGGAGGTTGTGGGTTCGATCCCGACCCTGAGAGATGTTGACTACCTCGCCTGGTCTACAGGAGGTCGTGGGTTCGAGCCAGACCCTGGGGGATGTTGACTACCTCGCCTGGTCTACAGGAGGTCGTGGGTTCAATCCCGACCCTGAGAGATGTTGACTACCTCGCCTGGTATACAGGAGGTCGTGGGTTCAATTACCCTGAGAGATGTTAACTACCTCGCCTGGTGTACAGGAGCTCGTGGGTTCGATCCCGACCCTGGGAGATGTTGACTACCTCGCCTGGTCTACAGGACGATGCCTGCTGCTGCTTCTGCTGCTGTATATTTGGAGTCTGCGTCTCTCTCCCCGTGGTGGTGTCTGTGTGGATTTTGTCTCTGGGTCCCTCCGGTTTATCCCCTCTCCACGTTTAGAATCTGCGTCACACCACGCTGTGTTTAAGAGTTGTTTAGCTGCTGATGTAAATGTCCACGCTGTGACGATCATGATGACGATGATGATGACATCAGCCACATGGTTGAGTTGCTATCATTTATCATAGGCCAGCTCAATGACTCATCACCACACAAAGAGACCCATAGACTCATCATCACACATAGAGACCCATAGATTCATCACACACAGAGACCCGTAGACTAATCACACATAGAGACCCATAGACTCATCACCACACAGAGACCCATAGACTCATCACCACACACAGAGACCCATAGACTCATCACACAGAGACCCATAAACTCATCACCACACACAGAGACCTATAGACTCATCACACACAGAGACCCATAGACTCATCACCACACACAGAGACCCATAGACTCATCACACACAGAACCCATAGACTCATCACCACACACAGAGACCCATAGACTCATCACACACAGAGACCCATAGACTCATAACCACACACAGAGACCCATAGACTCATCATCACACACAGAGACCCATAGACTCATAACCACACACAGAGACCCGTAGACTCATCACCACACACAGAGACCCACAGACTCATCACACATAGAGACCCATAGACTCATCACACACAGAGACCCATAGACTCATCATACACAGAGACCCATAAACTCATCACACACAGAGCCATAGACTCACCACACACAGAGACCCATAGACTCATCACGCAGAGATCCATAGACTCATCACACACAGAGACCCATAGACTCATCACACATAGAGACCCATAGACTCATCACACACAGAGACCCATAGACTCATCACCACACAGAGACCCATAGACTCACCACACACAGAGACCCATAGACTCATCATCACACATAGAGACCCATAGACTCATCACACACAGAGACCCATAGACTCATCACACAGACACCCATAGACTCATCACCACACACAGAGACCCATAGACTCATCACACACACAGACCCATAGACTCATCATCACACATAGAGACCCATAGACTCATCACACAGAGACCCATAGACTCATCACCACACACAGAGACCCATAGACTCATCACCACACACAGAGACCCATAGACTCATCACACACAGAGACCCATAGACTCATCACCACACACAGAGACCCATAGACTCATCACACACAGAGACCCATAGACTCATAACCACACACAGAGACCCATAGACTCATCATCACACACAGAGACCCATAGACTCATCACACAGAGACCCATAAACTCATCACCACACACAGAGACCCACAGACTCATCACACATAGAGACCCATAGACTCATCACACACAGAGACCCATAGACTCATCATACACAGAGACCCATAGACTCATCACACACAGAGCCATAGACTCATCACACACAGAGACCCATAGACTCATCACACACAGAGACCCATAGACTCATCACCACACAGAGACCCATAGACTCATCACCACACACAGAGACCCATAGACTCACCACACAGAGACCTATAGACTCATCATACCCCAGGTGCCCTCAGGGCTACAGCTAAGCCCCCGGGTGCCCTCAGGGCCCCAGCTAAGCCCCAGGTGCCCTCAGAGCCCCCGGGTGCCCTCAGGGCCCCCGGGTGCCCTCAGGGCCCCCCGGCTATGCCCCAGGTGCCCTCAGGGCCCCCGGGTGCCCTCAGGGCCCCGGCTATGCCCCCAGGTGCCCTCAGGGCCCCCGGGTGCCCTCAGGGCCCCGGCTATGCCCCCAGGTGCCCTCAGGGCCCCGGCTAAGCCCCCGGGTGCCCTCAGGGCCCCCCGGTGCCCTCAGGGCCTCCCGGCTATGCCCTGGGTGCCCTCAGGGCCCCCCGGCTATGCCCTGGGTGCCCTCAGGGCCCCCCCCCGGCTATGCCCCGGGGGCCCCGAGGTGCCTCCAGAGTGCGAGCAGGACGGGGATGGCGACGGGCAGGAAGAGTGGAATGTAGATGGCGAACTTCTGGTCGTCGGGGAAGTACAGCAGAGCGAGCAGCGAGGGATCGTAGAAGGCCGCCTCTGAGGCCCTGCAAGCACAGCCGGCGTGGCCCAGGGCAGCCTCCAAGCGGCCCTCTCTGAGGTCGGCCAGGGAGGCCCAGGAGCTACGCACAGCGACCTCCACCTGGGGGGCACGGGGGTGGAGATGGTTGTAGTGGTGGTGGTGGTGGTAGAGGTGGTGGTGGTAGTGGTAGAGGTGGTAGTAGTGGTGGTAGTGGTGGTAGTGGTGGTAGTGGTGGTGGTAGTGGTGGTAGTGGTGGTAGTGGTGGTGGTGGTAGAGGTGGTAGAGGTGGTGGTAGTGGTGGTGGTAGTGGTAGAGGTGGTAGAGGTAGTGGTGGAGGTGGTGGTAGTGGTAGAGGTGGTGGTAGAGGTGGTGGTGGTGGTAGTGGTGGTGGTAGAGGTGGTGGTGGTGGTAGTGGTGGTGGTAGAGGTGGTGGTGGTGGTAGTGGTGGTGGTAGAGGGGGTAGAGGTGGTAGAGGTGGTGGTGGTAGTGGTGGTAGAGGTGGTGGTGGTGGTGGTGGTGGTAGAGGTGGTAGTGGTGGTAGTGGTGGTAGAGGTGGTGGTGGTAGAGGTGGTGGTAGTGGTAGAGGTGGTAGTGGTGGTAGAGGTGGTAGAGGTGGTAGAGGTGGTGGTGGTAGAGTGGTGGTAGAGGTGGTAGTGGTGGTGGTAGTGGTGGTAGTGGTGGTGGTAGTGGTGGTAGTGGTGGTGGTGGTGGTGGAGGTGGTAGAGGTGGTAGTGGTAGAGGTGGTAGAGGTGGTGGTGGTAGTGGAGGTGGTAGAGGTGGTAGTGGTAGAGGTGGTAGAGGTGGTGGTAGAGGTGGTGGTGATAGTGGTAGAGGTGGTAGAGGTGGTGGTAGAGGTGGTAGAGGTGGTGGTAGAGGTGGTAGTGGTGGAGGTGGTAGAGGTGGTGATAGAGGTGGTGGTGGTGGTAGAGGTGGTAGAGGTGGTGGTGGTAGAGGTGGTAGAGGTGGTGGTGATAGTGGTAGAGGTGGTAGAGGTGGTAGTGATAGAGGTGGTAGAGGTGGTGGTGATAGTGGTAGAGGTGGTAGTAGTGGTAGTGGTAGAGGTGGTAGTGATAGAGGTGGTAGAGGTGGTGGTGATAGTGGTAGAGGTGGTAGTAGTGGTAGTGGTGGTAGTGGTGGTAGAGGTGGTAGAGGTAGTGGTAGAGGTAGTGGTAGAGGTAGTGGTAGAGGTGGTGGTAGAGGTGGTGGTAGAGGTGGTAGTAGTGGTAGTGGTGGTAGAGGTGGTAGAGGTGGTAGAGGTGGTAGTAGTGGTAGTGGTAGAGGTGGTGGTGATAGTGGTGGTGGTAGCGGTGGCGGTGGTGGTGGCGGTAGCGGCGGCGACGTCAGATCTCCCAGAATCTCAACCCCCGGCCGTCCCCGCACGCTTCACCAACTCCCCCGCCGGGGCCGCTAGCCACCGCCGCTCACCACCCCGCTCCCTCACCGGCTCCTCCTCCTCCTCCTCCTCCTCCTCCTCCCTCCTCACCTGGTGAGCGACAGGCAGTGCTATGACGATGTTGTGGATCTCGCCAAGCAGCTGGGCGAGAGACGCCAGTCCACCCGTGGCTCCAGCCAGCAGCTCGGCACAACGCCTCCACGCCAGCTCGTCCAGCTCCCAGCCCGCCAGAGGCGCCGGGGTCACGGGGGCGGAGGTCACGGGGGCGGAGGTCACGGCCGTGGGGGCGGAGGTCACGGGGGCGGAGGTCACGGGGGCGGAGGTCACGGCCGTGGGGGCTGTTCCACGCACCCCAAGCAAGGCCCTGGGCGAAGTTGGGGACGAAATCAAGTTGTTGACGTTGTTGTTGTGGTGGTGGTTGTTGTGGTGGTGGTTGTTGTGGTTGTTGTTGTTGTGGTGGTGGTTGTTGTTGTGGTGGTGGTTGTTGTTGTTGTTGTGGTGGTTGTTTTGTGGTGGTGGTGGTGGTGGTTGTTGTTGTTGTGGTGGTGGTTGTTGTTGTGGTGGTGGTGGTTGTTGTTGTGGTGGTTGTTGTTGTTGTTGTGGTGGTGGTTGTTGTTGTGGTGGTTGTTGTTGTTGTTGTGGTGGTGGTTGTTGTTGTGGATGTTGTTGGACGTTGTTGTTGTGGTGGTGGTGGTTGTTGTTGTTGTTGTGGTGGTGGTTGTTGTTGTGGTGGTTGTTGTTGTTGTGGTGGTTGTGGTGGTTGTTGTGGTGGTGGTTGTTGTGGTGGTGGTTGTTGTTGTTGTTGTGGTGGTGGTGGTTGTTGTTGTTGGTGTGGTGGTGGTTGTTGTTGTGGTGGTTGTTGTTGTGGTTGTTGTTGTTGTGGTGGTGGTTGTTGTGGTTGTTGTTGTTGTTGTTGTGGTGGTGGTTGTTGTGGTGGTGGTTGTTGTTGTTGTTGTGGTGGTGGTTGTTGTTGTTGGTGTGGTGGTGGTTGTGGTGGTGGTGGTGGTGGTTGTGGTGGTGGTGGTGGTTGTTGTGGATGTTGTTGTTGTGGTGGTGGTTGTTGTTGTTGTGGTGGTTGTTGTTGTGGTGGTTGTTGTTGTGGTGGTTGTTGTGGATGTTGTTGGACGTTGTTGTTGTGGTGGTGGTGGTGGTTGTTGTTGTGGTGTTGGTGGTTGTTGTTGTTGTTGGTGTGGTGGTGGTGGTGGTTGTTGTTGTTGTTGGTGTGGTGGTGGTTGTTGTTGTTGTGGTTGTTGAAGGATGTTGTTGGACGTTGTTGTTGTTGTTGTGGTGGTGGTTGTTGTGGTGGTGGTTGTTGTTGTGGTGGTGGTGGTTGTTGTTGTGGTGGTGGTTGTTGTTGTGGTGGTGGTGGTTGTTGTTGTGGTGGTGGTGGTTGTTGTTGTGGTGGTGGTGGTTGTTGTTGTGGTGGTGGTGGTTGTTGTTGTGGTGGTGGTGGTTGTTGTTGGTGTGGTGGTGGTGGTTGTTGTTGTTGTTGTGGATGTTGTTGGACGTTGTTGTTGTTGTGGTGGTTGTTGTTGTTGTTGTGGATGTTGTTGGACGTTGTTGTTGTTGTGGTGGTTGTTGTTGTTGTGGTGGTTGTGGTGGTGGTTGTTGTTGTTGTTGTGGTGGTGGTTGTTGTTGTTGTGGTGGTGGTTGTGGTGGTTGTTGTTGTGGTGGTTGTTGTGGTGGTGGTTGTTGTTGTTGTGGTGGTTGTTGTTGTGGTGGTTGTTGTGGTGGTTGTTGTTGTGGTTGTGGTGGTGGTTGTTGTTGTTGTTGTGGTGGTGGTTGTTGTTGTTGTTGTGGTTGTTGTTGTGGTGGTTGTTGTTGTTGTGGTGGTGGTTGTTGTTGTTGTGGTGGTTGTTGTTGTTGTTGTGGTTGTTGTTGTTGTTGTGGTGGTTGTTGTTGTTGTGGTGGTTGTTGTGGTGGTTGTTGTTGTGGTGGTGGTTGTTGTTGTGGTGGTTGTTGCTGTTGTGGTTGTTGTTGTGGTTGTTGTTGTTGTGGTTGTTGTTGTGGTGGTGGTGGTTGTTGTGGTGGTTGTTGTTGTTGTGGTGGTGGTTGTTGTTGTGGTTGTTGTTGTTGTGGTGGTTGTTGTTGTTGTGGTGGTTATTGTTGTGGTTGTTGTGGTGGT